GAGGGGGGAGAGGCAGGGCTGGGGGCGCGGGCACGGATGGACGGACGGACAGGGCACTTGGGGTGGACCCATGGATCCCCAGGGTGCACGGGGTGGATGGGCAGGGGGCATGGGGTGGACAACGGACACCCAGGGTGCCTGGGGTGGACGCCCAGGGCGCATGGGGAGGACACACGGATCCCCAGGGTGCACGGGGTGGATGGGCAGGGTGCATGGGGTGGACAACGGACACCCAGGGTGCATGGGGTGGACGCCCAGGGCGCATGGGGAAGACACACGGACATGCAGGGTGTACAGGGTGGATGGGCAGGGCGCATGGGGTGGACAAACGGACACGCAGGGCGCATGGTGGGGACACACGGACAGGCAGGGTGCTTGGGGGGACAGGCAGGCTGCATGGGACGGACACACAGACACGCAAGGTACGTGGAGTGGATGCGTGGATGGGCAGGGTGGATGCACAGGGTGCATGGGGCGGACACACAGACGCCCAGGGTGCATGGGAGGGGACACACGGACGCTCAGGGCGCATGGGACGGACACGCAAGGTACGTGGAGTGGATGCGTGGATGGGCAGGGTGCATGGGGTGGACACACGGACACCCAAGGCACATGGGGCAGACACACGGACACTCAGGGTGCATGGGGTGGATACACAGATGCCCAGGGAGCATGGTGGGGACAGACGGACGCGCAGGGTAGACGTGTAGGCTGCACAGCACGGACGCGCAGGGTGCACGGGGGGGACAGGCAGGCTGCACCGCACGGCCGCGCAGACAGACAGACAGACAGACAGCCGGTACGGACTCGGTGGCCAGCAGCTTGGCCGTGAGCCGGTTCTCCCTGACGGCCGCCAGCAGCCAGCGCTGGCAGAAGAGGTAGGCACAGCCCAGGAGCCCGCAGACAGCCCTGCCGAGGAGAGGGCAGCGTACGGGCAGGGTATGGGCAGGGTATGGGCAGGGTACAGGCAGGGTATAAGAGAGGTACAGGCAGGGTATGGGCAGTATATGGGCAATGTACGGGAAGGGTATGGGCAGGGTACGAGCAAGGTATAAGCAGGGTATGGGCAATGTATGGGCAGGGTACAGGGAGGGTATGGGCAGGGTACGAGCAAGGTACGGGCAGGGTATGGGCAGTGTACGGGCAGAGTATGAGGAGGGTACGGGCAGGGTAGAGGCAGGGGTACAGGCAGTGTATGGGCAGCATTTGGGCAGGGTACGGGCAGGGTACAGGGAGGGTATGGGCAGTATATGGGCATTGTATGGGCAGGGTACAGGCAGGGTATAAGAGAGGTATGGGCAGGGTACAGGGAGGGTATGGGCAGGGTACGAGCAAGGTACGGGCAGGGTATGGGCAGTGTACGGGCAGAGTATGAGGAGGGTACGGGCAGGGTAGAGGCAGGGGTACAGGCAGTGTATGGGCAGCATTTGGGCAGGGTACGGGCAGGGTACAGGGAGGGTATGGGCAGTATATGGGCATTGTATGGGCAGGGTACAGGCAGGGTATAAGAGAGGTATGGGCAGGGTACAGGGAGGGTATGGGCAGGGTACGAGCAAGGTACGGGCAGGGTATGGGCAGTGTACGGGCAGAGTATGAGGAGGGTACGGGCAGGGTAGAGGCAGGGGTACAGGCAGTGTATGGGCAGCATTTGGGCAGGGTACGGGCAGGGTACAGGGAGGGTATGGGCAGTATATGGGCA